TTCGATCATATGCACAAAATTCCCAAATGGTCTACAATGACTGCCACTATATATGATCCAAGATAAATGTGCATTTATTCAGTTATTATATTAATAATGTTCTTTTATATAGAGTGCAATCCTTGATGATCATAGCTATTTGTGAAATGAAATGAAAAAATATACCAACTCAAATTCTTTATTGGACACTACTAAATAAAATATACTAAGATGAAATAGGATTTTCAATACCAACAATGTGTTATAGTTTAATAAGTGATAAAGCACAAGTAAATTAACAAGTTATTACAACTGTCTACAATAGTGGTCCAGACAAGGTTTTATTTGGCCGAAAGAGGAGTTATCTATTCCATTAGGAGTAGAGTCTACATGAACACATAGAGAAAAACATTCAAGTTGAATATTATGATAAGCATAAATAGTTGTGCTAAAGTTTAAAAACTGTAAACACTTTAGAAGATGCAGAAAAAAATTATAAATTCATACATTTATGGTGGGCTAAAGGTAATGCTTATGAGAAAGCAATTCCAAAACTACAAACTTAGTTAGTATGGTGGTTTACTTGTTTTTCACATCGGGGGACTCTAATTATTTCTTAGGTGAGCAAGTATTAGCATTGTTTTTATTTTATTAATTCTCTTTCTATTGTAGATGAGTTTTGAAACAATTGCTACCCAAATTCCAACAACAAATTTCACTAAGAGTTACTATATGATCTGGCTAGTAAAAAGAAGTGGCTCTAAATGTATACTTCTATGTAAAACTTGCTTGAATGACTTAGTCATTTCTATTTTACAACAAACCTTTATACATACTTATATGAAAGGTTAGGTTATAGGAAATGGACCAAATCTTGAGGATTTAGTGGCATATTTATTTGTTATAACATCCATATGACTTCCTAGTCACAAGCTCACATAGATGATGGGATTAACTTTAGATGGATTATGCAATTCGATCTACAATAAAACCAATTGGGAACCTTGAAACTATAGCAATGAGCATATCATTCTTGGGATGATGCTCGATATTTGCGTGAGTTTCACATATGTCTTCATTATACTCTCCATAGCATTATGGTTGATAATAACAACATATTCAAGCACCCACTTGATCCTCCACTCCTAATTTTCATAACCACCCTTAGTTATGCCCTTCGCTTTCTATGATTTAGTTCTATCTTTTTACTACTTATTTTTGCTATCACATGTTTTCTTTGGTTATTCTCTTCCAGACTAGAAGGATAACTTTGCACTATCTACCATGCTTTAGAGTATTCTTAGGGATGGATTTACCCTATAGTTTAGAGAGTCATTCATAAATCCAAACATACTCACCTTATAATCCCACACACTAAGATTAATGTCATTCTACATGGGCCTCTTTATACCCATTGCTAACCATGCCAAAATCCCTTTTTGGTTTTGTCCAATTCAAATAAACGGACTTCTCATACTTCCACAACTTTAGACATTAAATAGCACCTTTTATCTATTATTCATTAGGATTTAGTCCCTTGGGCATTATCTAAGGCCCTCATGATATCAAACATCATTTCCTAGTGTTCTAGAGTGTTTAAGTGTCCTAATGATAACCTTCCTTGATAATGAGCATTTCCCTTTATAACATTAATTTATTATATCCTAACATAAACAATTTATCCCCCCTTGGGATATATCTAACCTTCTTATCCCAACAAAAAGTTTTGGGAAGTTAACTTCTACCAATCCAATCAATTATGCCATATACAACTCATTGTTGGTGTTTCCATATCTCCATCATTATTTAGGTCCACACACAACTAGCTAACTTGACTTTAAGGCCTTATCTCTTGAGACATTTGGGGTCAGCTTCACAAGCCTACTTTCACGATACTCTCCACTTATGTTTAAGTCTTTGCCAGGACCAAAGCAGTTGTTTCTCATGCCAACTATCAATTAACACTACACTATGGTGTTCACACACAACTCTATGCCAAAGTTGCTTTCTTCCGGGAACACATTTCCCATGACTTTAGTATGGCACATTTTGCCATCAATAAAATACCCATTATTCTCATACTTGGATCTTATGATCCTTCTCATCTTTCGTAAGATGTAACACACCTTCGTCCAAATGCTTCCACTAGTCTTTTAGGACCATTCCTTGACTCCACTCGAGTCATCTAGCTTTTTGGACTTTGCTAATTTGACAACCCATAAAGTCTTAGCCTCATATATATTTTTGATGTGTCAATTCTCTGAAATACAACTTCTTGTATTCATGTCCTACTTATAAGAACCATCTGCAGCAAGTGTTACTCTAACATTTAATTATTTTTTGTTTTCTGTGGGCTATTTTTGCCCATTAGGACTATCCGTCCATATCATAAAAATACTAACTCATCCTCTAAGTATACCCCCAATTCTTTAGGTTTGTTCTAGCATTTATTAAAAGTAGCCCCAACTACCATTTCAAGGACTAGTGTCTTCATCCATATTTGACCTCTTATAGTCACTAATTCCAATCTCAAATTCTAGAGCACCATCCTCAATTATATGAGGATAATCTCATAACTCCTTTATCATCTAGGAGTTTCCATCATTCTCGTGATCCCAATTGTAGTTGTTTATCACAACCATATTAACCAATTTGCTAAATCAAACGCTTATATAGATTATATCCTCAACTTTTTAAGCAAAACCTTTTATTGTTCCAAAGATCTTAAAGTTGTTCCCTTATTAACCCCTTTCATGAGAACCCTTTTCCAAAGGAATCCCAATGGAAATGGGATTGGCATAGCTTAAGCTAAAAGATATACAATTTGACCATATTGCCAATATGTTCATTTATGAACTAAGGTGGAGAATCATGCCCTTTTGACATACTACTCTTTGAGGAAAACCCACTCTTAGGACTTTCCAATGCCAATATCAAGTGGTGATATATTTGATTACCAATAAGAGTCAGATTAAGGAATACTTTTGATACCATTTTACTTTAGTCACTTAACCACACCACCAACTACTTGGAGGAGTCTCACTCACAACCTCCATAAATCCTATTTCGGACTTAAGGATTTGCTATCCCCATAAATGGCATTTATTCCACTTAACCTTTGCACTTGGTCCAAGTGCTCAATTTGTCCAATCCCATGACTGACACCCAAAGGTACCATCGACATATCTACTTGTTATGCTAAAACCATGTCCATTCCCCTTTTGTCACATATATAGTCCAAGACCACCTGCACCATAATCCCATCTCCCCAAATTAGACCATCTATCCATAAGTGGTCATCCAATAACCACACTTTAGCATCTTTAATATGCCCAAAGACATGAAACACCTTTCCTCCATATCCTTTTTTTAATCCCTACCAACTCCCTTTTTGTCTCTGGCAATGCTTGCCAACACCACCATTGGGTTTGAGCTCAAAAGCCCGACCACTAAGTCTCTTTGACTTCTGGGACTTCCTCACTATATGACTATATCCTTTGTCACTATATTAGAGGACATCACCTCTTCCTTTCCATAGTCTAGGACTTTGGGATGACATTTCAAAACATCATAGCCTTATACAAGCCTCGTGAGTACTTTTCTCACCTTCCACCTTTAGGTGCCTTAGCTATGTGGCTAGAGCGAGGTTCCAATGAGCCAAGCTAGGTATCCAAATAGATAGTGCCACCCATACTTGGATTGGGAGCATCGACCATTTGATTTTCCAAGGGAGCTAGAGTCAACTTTTGAACACTTCACCAAACTTACCCTTTTGTCTATATTCACTCTAACCTTGGACTCTTTAATGGTTTTATCATCACCCAACATATGAGTATAGCTTTCTTTGGTCACATTGGTTTTTCTTGGCCAAATTAATTCCACTAGAGTCTTCCCCCTACCATACTTTTGAAGCTCACCAAACCCCTCAGGGTCTACGAGACAAACGCTTTAGGCTTTCACCCTCGGACTCAAACTTAGATTCGGACTCGGTCTCAAACTTGGTCTTAGACTTAGTCTTAGTTTCGGTCTCAGTCTCGGTCTCGGTCTTGACCTCAAACTCCATCTTGACCTTGGACTTTATCTTAGACTCGACCTCAGACTCCATCTCAAGTCCATCTCAAACTCTATCTCAGATCCATCTCAGACTCAATCTTAGACTCTATCTTGGACTCTATCTCAGGTCTATCTTGGACTCCATCTCAGGTTCATCTTAGACTTCATCTCGGACTCCATCTCAAGTCCATATTAAGACCATTTTGAATTCATATCGGACTTCATCTCAGACTCCATTTTAGACTTGTTTTTGACACTTTCCTGTGTCACAACACTTATCATGTGTCAGTCTTTATGTCCTTTTTTAGAGACTCCATTGAGACATTAGTAGTGGTTAAAGCAAAAGTCCAACAAGTGTAATATGTTTGGATCTAAGGTTCTGATTTGGAAAGTCGAGAGTGGGAGTGGAACTCCAAATGAAGTACTCAAAGGATGATGATATCCTTAGCAGACTTTACAATAACAAGAAGAAACTTGGCACCAAGTTTGTGTCTTCAAGCTTGGGCTTTTAGACACGGCCAAAAAGCTCACCAAAGTGTGAGTCTTCGTTCCATCTTTATCCTTCCTGTGTGGTGAGCTTCCAGGTTTATTTTAAAGTTTGAGCCGGGACTAAAACTTCATCATGAATCCAGGACGTTTTGTGTGTTGTCGAACATTTTGGCAGAAAGAAATGGAGATCCTTCCGTTCGTTATAATGCTTTACTGCTTGCACAGAAGGTTAGTTTACTGATTCTAGTTCCTCGATGTAGATCGTGCTTCTTGTCTAAATGCATTTCCACAGTCATCTGTGCTTGTTTCTCTTGATCTAAAATGCGTTTGAGACGCTGAGCTCTAAGTTCTCTGTGCCTTGGTCCTGTGTTGCTCCTTTGGATTGTCACAACTAATGCCGTGGGTCCACTTTCTAAGTTTGCTGCGATGCTGCGACCGGGGCGTGCATAGTTTTCAACGCATATAAACGATCCAGTCGGGACAGGTAACTTCAGTGTAATGTTTGATTGGAACCAAGCCAATATCCTGGACAGGATTACAGGCGGTTTGTCTACTCGTCCAGGTAGATGGTGACCAGCCCCACCAAACAGTCGACTAAGCCTGTAAAACTTTTCCAAAGAGCTGCGAGCAACCTCAAAGATTTGCATCAGTAATTCTTCTTTCGCAGCAAAGAGTTTCCCTCGTCACAAAGCCCACCAAAGCTCCCATAGCACTGCTAACGTTGTTCCTCCAGAGCAAGTCCGGATGGAAAACCCCCAGTACGGAGCTTGGGACTTGGATTTAATGGATGTCCAGCAGCAGCCAGTGAATCCGAGGCCCGGAAGTAGCACCAACGTCAAAGGATCGAAAGACGAAGAAGAAAATAATGGAATACGGAGGAACTGGTCGGCCTTGTCAAGAATCGGTTTACCTGTGGAACGAGACAGGTCAGCTTTGGCTCGAAACAAACGAAAGAACTCACCGTTTTGCTTTCTTCTTTCTTTTCCTTCCCAGATTAATCAAGCTCGAGGATCGCGAATCAAAGTCGGGAGTGCAAGTTCCACGAGCAAAACATCTCAGGATGCTGTCACGAGAAGGAAAGCTGGGATTAGCGAGGGAAGTTCTCGAGGAAATTAAAAAGAAAAAAGTCAGTGCAGTACCTTATACGATGCTGATTCATGTGTACATGCACTTTCTCAGAACGTCTTGGTGAAATCAGGTAGAAAAAGAGAAGCGTGGGAAAGAAAATCTCACCTTGCCACGATTTGTGTCAGACACGGAGCGTAAGATCGTCGTCTTGACCTCGGCGACACTAGCAGCAGCGGGAATTTGGAGCTCGTCTTTGTCAGAAGCGCAGAAGAAAACCTAGCTAAATCCAATCCAGAACGAAAGCAAAATGCCCAAATCTTAAAATCAGGACGTTAAAGTACTATCGTACATCGTTTGCGAACGATTCTAAGAATATGCTCAGGCCGCTTTTAGCTTGAAACGGAAATCAAAGCTCATAGCCGACGAAGGCTGTCCACCATTTTCCTGGAAGAAAACACAGAGATATGACTTAGTTGTGGAAAGAATGAGAGGCTTTCTCATGGAAAACCAGGAGCTCGGCCATGGAAGATGTTTCCGTCATCTTACTATGCTCGAGGAAGCGGGCCTTAAACTCATCATCATCAATGGGCGTTGCAGCCATACTTCCCTGAACTTGTTGTGAGGAAGAAGCAGACAAGAGCATGATCAGTACGAAACCTGCGTGGAAAAGACTTAAGTGCTTGAAACTACTTGAAATTAGAAGACTTATCATCAAAGACAAGTTTTTGAATACGTTCTTTCGAAACTTGGGAGCCAAACGAGACCACGAATGCGGACGTGATGAACTGGAAATACATTGTGAAGAGCAACGCTGTGGTCAGCATCCACCAGCTTGCACCATGAGAGTATCTGAAACAAACGACACTTTAAGCACGAACTTTACAACACCAATCACCTACTGTGCTGGCCATTTCACGTAATTCTTCTGGCCTGCCATGAAAAAAATTGAAGCCACCAGGAACACTGCTTCCCCAGAGCCCCAACACCGATGCTACATTCAAAGGCCCAAGCAAACTACGGTTAAACATTTCATAGACTCAAGGTGAGAGAAGAGTAGGAACCTTGTTGAGTATTTTTTTCAGCATTGCACCGAGACCTGGCATAACCAATGCTAAGCACAGCTACGCCATCAATAAATATGAAGTCCATTCGGCAGGCTATGATCCCAAACCTGGATTGAAAGCGTTAAGATCTCGGAAGTCCAAGCTTACCAATAACAACAAAGCTTAAATATTGAGAACTGGAGGCCATAAATAATCAGAAACTTGTAGCATGCGAACGACGTATGGAGAGCACCTCGCGCTTCACGTAGTAAATATACCACGGCTTGGACCTACAAAGAAAACATCAACTTTGCGCGATTGCTTGAGAAAAAAAGCTTGAACTGACCGATTTGTTCTGGCAGTAAATGGAGACACCACCGATGCTTCTGCAGCACTTAAAGCAATGCCGGCGTGAGCGGCCCTTAGCGCTCCACAATCGTTTCCACCGTCACCACACATTCGCACGATTAGGCCACGGTTTCTATGCATAGTTACCACTTTCTCCTGCAAGTCCACAACCGCATGAGACTATTATAATAAGAGAACAAACTGGACCTCATCGGAAGGAGTGAATCTTGCAAGATTCGTGTGTAAAGAAGTAGGTCGTCCATCCTTGGATTCTTGTAAGCGATAAACGCTTTACCCGTAACCGCAAGTTCCAAGGTCCCGTCCTCAAGTGAGCTCGCTCTACTTTGAAGTAATTCTTCGGTGGACATGCGGCTTATACCCGTAGTCACTTTACTACCACCCAGAGGAGACCATACCACGCTACAGAGACAAAGCTATCTGTTGTCGTCCCTTATATCACCCAGTAGTATCTTACAGTCAGATGAGAGCATACCAGCCTGTTTACCAATATAGTGGCCGCATTGAGCATTATCACCGGTAACCATCACGGGACGAACCTATCGACCACGAGCATTTCGTTTTCCAGCATAATCAATATAGACAACGTACCTTTCCAGCTTTGAGACATTGAATAGCTGCAGAGTTATCCGGCTTGAGCTCGTTCCTAAACAAGACCAGAGATATAAAATTCAGGTATTCATTCCTTACATATCTTCAAATGCCAGATATCAGCCAACGTATCTGCAAGGTTCAGCAATAAGCCATTGGAAGAAAACAGTATAAAAAGCCTGAAAGACTGAGGAAACAGCGTGCACCTGTAGCTTAAACCAAGAACATAACAACCGCGCAGAGCTTGGAGCCGTGCTCTGTCCTCATAGTCCTTTGAGCGTCGCTCAGCTCCTTAATCTTTTGGAAAGAACCCTGCCATGCTTGAACGGAAATATTGATGAGTGAAGGCTTGCGAATGCTAGACGCAAGAACCTTGCAGTAGATGTGAAAGTTTCCAGCGTTGTCCTCCACAACAACACATTATTGCTCTCGATTGATCAAACTCGTTTCGTCTCACGATTCTAAAGGTCCGTGATCCGGAACCATCTGAAACGACTGGGGGACTGTTTACGGACTCTATCAAATTCCATCCCACAGCTGAGAACATTACCACCTGTCACAAAAGGCAGAGACTTAACATCCAAACTTTTCTGGGGAAAATTACTAAACCTGGTTTCCAACCAAGTCCTTTCCAAACTTTCATGACATGTGGCCAGTCCAGGAAAAGAATATCATCAACAGTAGATCCACTTTCTCACCCAAATACTCTGCTGTCCGTTCATGTTCTGGTCCACAATAGAGACAGTTTGGAAAAATGATTTCATATAGAGAATCATCAATATATACCTGACACTTTATGGACACACCAAAGCGTAGATAACATGGAGGCAGGGAAGCTCCTCATCGTATTTGAAGATGAGCTTTTGAGGGCACAGAATCGTCGCAAGCAGTTCGCCTTTGCATACCGGGTCACAGAAAAATGCGTAAATACGTTCCTTAGTAAAAGAAAAAAACCATGGCAAAAGCATATACCTGTCTCCACGACGATTGCGAGAGCATCATCATGGTCCTGTCCTGCTCGAATCACGTCGGCCTTGGGAGCAGCGTATTTTTGCACTGGCATGGGCTCACCAGTCAAAGCACTCTCGTCACAAACACAGGAGCCTTTTCGAAGCTAGTTAAAAACCGAGAAACAGACGGTTTCAAACCTTTGATGATCAGTAGATCGCACGGAAGCACCCGGCCGCTTTTCAGCTTGATCACATCGCCGGGTACCAAGTTTCGCGAAGCAAGGTTTATCCATTGACGGCTTTGCAGAGCTTCAACTTGCGTGCGTATCATACTCAGTGATCTGAAAACAAGAAAGGACGTTTCCCAACCATCTGAAACTGATTCACAACGCTTTACCTTGGCTATCATGAACTGGCCTCGACGTCGATTGTAAATGGTTATCGCAGCGCCCAGTGCCACCATAAACATCATGAGCGGCGTTTCATTTGGACCAAGTTCTACTAAACGCTTTTCAGCTTCCCCTTCAGTAAGACCTTTGGCTTCCTACCGGAAACAATGGAAAGGAAAAATCATTGAGACGCACCCATACAGTACAATATAAATAAAGTTTTAAAACCTTGAGGAAATCTGAGTATCTCTCCCCAACTTGGAAGTTCACGTCTGTCACAGTTTCGCCAAACATCTCGGGATGCTGTCACGAGAAGGAAAGCTGGGATTAGAGGAAATGAAAAAGAAGAAGCTCAAAGTCAGTGCAGTACCTTACACGATGCTCGTTGCTATACTCGTTGCTATGGACCTTTTGCAAGCATAGCTTTGGAACTCACAAGAAAAGGACCCTGCATCAGCAAAACGCGAGAGAGACAAACCCTGGTCAGAGATCCGCTGCAATGCAGGCCTGCAGTGATTTTCAGGCAAGCTCAATGACTCAAAAAACAAAAGAGATCTCGAATTATGGCTTTACTCAAACTCGCAAAGGTTACAAAAAAAGTGCCACCTGCAAAAAAATAAAAAATGAGAAATAGCAAACACTAGAATACTTTCCCCGCTTCTTTCGTGCATCTAGCCACTAGCCAAGTGCAGCTTCTGAAGACTCAGAAGGATCTCTCTCTGCACAGCTCCCATGCAGGAGAGATCGTTCTCGAGGTCAAGTACGCGTTTCTCAAGACCCACATTCTTCGCCTGCAGATCCCTGTTTTCGGCTTCGAGGAAGTCGACTTTTGCCTGAAGGACGTGAATTTGCTCCTGCAGCCTTTTATTACTCGCGTTTAGCCGGATGTTCTCCAGCATTTGTCCCTGCCATTTGGTTCTCCCCTCGTCGATTTGACGGCTGAGTCGCACCTGTATGCCTCGTTGAGCTCCAACCACCCTGCAAAATAAAAAACCATCAGAAAAACCGTTTAGAAAAACCACAAAGAGGAGAAAAACCACAAAAGAGGAGAAATACCTTTCCAGGTTCTCTTTCTGGTCTGCTAGTTCCACTGCGATGTACTCCATCGCTGCAGCATGGCGAACTGCTTCGTCAGGGAAGCCATCCTTCCTCAAGAGAAACCCCCTGAGTATAACAAAGATTTTTGAGAAAAATTTCTGAGACAATAAAGAATCCTTACTTGTTTTCTTTATCCTCGGGGAGGATGTGAAGATACTCCTCCCCGGGATAAACGTTGAACGCCCTCCCGCCCACGATCTTGATGTCTTGCCCGCTGCGTAGCATCTCCTTGCCATGCGGTGGAGCAGCAGTCCCTTGCGCGCTCTGGTAAACTCCGACCATCGCCATCGCCGGAAATCGCCGCAAACCCTAAGCGCAAAACCAAGAACCCTAAATATCGAAAAGGGAAATACCCTTAGAGGGCTACCAAAGGGATCTATGTAAAGTAGTCACTGTAAAAGGAAAAGAAACTGGAGTCGCTAAGCAGAAACTGGAGAAAAAGGGGCTGCGAGCACGGCATTAGTCACAACAATCCAAGGGAGAAGGAGGCACAGAGAACTTAGAGCTCAAGAGTTTCCGAGAATTCTTCGAGCTTCAGGAAATCCTGCTACTTCCAATCTCCTGCAAAAGCCTCGACAGCTCTACACCACTGTCCGATCATGGAGCTCCACCCTGCTGGAGTATTCTGCCATGCTGCTGATGAGGCCGGCAGTCCCTCCAGGACACGCGAACTTGGGAAAGCTTTGCGCTGCTGTGTTCTTTACACCGTGTGCAACAATGTCTGCTCCGTGGAGGGCAACACTTGCAAAAGCTCCTGTCCGGCCAAGTTCGCACACCCCGGTCGCACCATCGCTGCGAACTGGAGAAACAGGGGCTGCAAGCTAGTCACAACAATCCAAAGGAGGAGGAGGCACAGAAAACTTATAGGGAAAAGCATTTCAACAAGAAGAACGATCGACATCGAGGAGCTAGAACCAGGAACGAGCCTTCTGTTCAAGCAGTAAACAACAACGACCGAATCCACGAGCAAAATCTGAAAGCAATATGAAAGGTCTTGCCAAAAATCACCACTTTCTTACGCCAAAATTCAGTCCTGCAGAGCACTAACTCGCCCCCGTAACTCGCGCCCCGCAGAGCAGTAACTCGCGCCCCGCAGAGCAGTAACTCGCGCCCCGCAGAGCAGTAACTAGCCCCCGTAACTCGCGCCCGGAGAGCAGTAACTCGCCCCCGTAACTCGGGCCCCGGAGAGCAGTAACTCGCCCCAGTAACTCGCGCCCCCGTAACTCGCGCCCTGGAGAGCAGTAACTCGCCCCAGTAACTCGCGCCCCGCAGAGCAGTAACTCGCCCCCGTAACTGGCGCCCCGCAGAGCAGTAACTCGCCCCAGGCCCAGAGAAGATCAAAGATCAATAAAGCAGAGCATACCTTGTCACGCTCAATAATGCGGCTGGATGGAGACGGAGAACGCGCCAGAGCAGCGTATGTAAAACCCTAAACCAAACAGCCCGGAGTTTAGCTGGAAAGCCATGAGAAGGATGGACTCAAATGGGTTCTTCTCTTCTTCTCCAGCATCGAGATCGTGTCTTGGAATCAAAGCTTGGTTCGGAACCTCGATCGCGCTAATTTTTAAACTCGGGCTGCCAACTTTTGCGAGATTCGAACCCAGACGTCGTTTACGAGCTTTTCAGTGGCTGCATAAAGAGCTTTGAACAGCAATGAGCATGCCCATGTATGAAGCTGACCTCTGCCATCCCTTGCATGCACTTCTGCCTCAACAATTGCCTCGAGTGCCTCCTGTTCTAGATGGGCTACCTTCTTGGCTTTCACTGCCTCCTTGTGAGCAATGGTCTTTCGAATCCTCGCAAGCCTGATGATACCAGCATTCACAGAATTCACATTGCACCCACAGCGTGTCCTCGGGAGTATTACAAATACAACATCTAGGATTTGCCTGCATCAAAAAATAAATTATAAAACTGAAAGCGAAAGCTGATTACCTCTCCACCGTACCGACCATCCCTCAGCTTCCCCAGCTTCTCATCGATACAGGCCAAGATCTTGTCAAAGCACCTGAAATTAAGATAGGCCTCTTGGTAGATTAGTTCACCACCTCCCGCCACATCAAACTTCCTTGTCTCAAACCAAGGACTCATGCAGTACACCACCCACGCAAGGACGTGAGACCTCGACTTGTCATCTGACATGAACAATTCCCGTGCTCTCGACCTGGCATGCTCGTGATCCTCAATCGCCCAAGCCCCTGTTGCAAACTGGATGACTACGAAGTGCGAATCTGCAACATAGTAGCAACCGAGTCCTTTCTCAGTCCCATGAATAGGAATGAAAAGCGTCGAAACGGAGATCTCTCTTTGGTCATCGCCATTGTAAAGCTCCCACGAAAATTGCAGACTGCTGTCGGAGTTATAGTCACGGAGCCTTCTTGGTCATACTTTATGACGGGTTGCTTGTACCGCGTCACAAGAATGCATGCCTGCTGTGTTTTCAGACCAATTCGTGAGAAAATACCGCGATGGTCGCTTTGGATAACTGGTGTCCATAACCGAATCTGCTCATCGGTCTGGTCCAAGTTATCCACCGGACTTGCCACCAGCATGAACTGGTTTGCTGCGTAGGAACGAAGCTGCTCTGAGAGACATCTCGCAATCCCGTCATCACCCCTGTAGAACAGCCCGGCAGCTTGCTCTGCAAAAATTGTCATCATCTTCGTCATCCTCAACAATTCCTTTCGAAAGGAGCTTGGAGAAACGAGGCCAATCTTCCGAAGGCAGATTCTGGATGTACTCTTTAAGAGCCTTACGGTACTTTCGATCGCTCCTGGTGGCAACCAACCCCGGAACCCAGCCAGTCTTCCACCAAATACTTTCTTTCGTAGTATTAGCGTCGGCCTTCACGAACGCCAAGTAGTTTGTTATTTCAACCTCCTGAATCAAACAGATAGAGTTTAGTACAGGCAACTTCACATGTGAAGATCAAGCTTACGTTGAATCCGCCATTGACGAAAAGTGCGCGATCTTCCTCCTTCAGAAACTCTTGCCACTTCCCACACAAGACTACAGCACCAAAACTAACAATACGCCGGAGTAAAACCGCATGCTCAGCAGAGATCTCAGACCATCGTCCAGCACCAGATAAAGCCTTCTGTTGTTATCACCCCGAACTATCTTCCACATGATCTTGATCACCTGATGGACATCTTTGTCATCCCTGAGGTTCTGAATGTAGTATTGAGCGGCATGGCTGTCGTGATAGCCCAAGGCAAGCGACCGGATGAGTGTCAAAGCTGGATACTTCGAAAACTCTTCCCCGTTGACGTGCATCATGGAGAGCGCCTCCAGTGTAAGAACCTTATGTTTTCCATGAACACCATAAGAGCTTATCAACTCGGCAGCCATCGATACCGCATCTCTGCTAATGCTGGCAAAAGTTGAGCTCAATGGACTTGATGATGGAGCTGAGTGGCAAGCATAGTTAGCATCAAGATACTATCAAACTCTACCACCACCTACCTGGCGGTGCTCTGCGGACATGCAATGTGAATGAGGGCGGCAAAGGAGTGCTGGACACTTTGTTAACTTCAACCCACATGACCGATGCTGCTGGATTTTTGGAGCTGTACGCTTTGGTGTGTCCATAAAGTTTCAGGTATATATTCATGATTCTCTATATGAAATCATTTTTCCAAACTGTCTGTTTATTGTGGACCAGAACATGAACGGACAGCAGGGTATTTGGGTAACAAAGTGATCTACTGTATGTTCATCATAAATTAGATAATGTCGCCACTATTGGCGGTTGCTCTTGAAGTTGGACAGATTCACGCTCTGAAGAGTTTAAAGGCACGCCTTCTTGAGGATGGATTTCTACTCGCGGGTCGGGATGTGGTCATCCCCGTCATGGCGGTGCTGCTCGCGGCGATGGTGTACGCTCAGCAGACCTCCTGTTTCCAGTTCCTTTGAATTTTTTTCTTACAGAAGCGTGGAGTGTTTTGGCTCAATCCAACTCCAATGCACATCGCTGGGAAGATACGAATTTTCTGTTTTGACAAAACCGGGACATTGACAAACTAGGGACTCGATTTTGTTGGAGTTCAGAGTGTCGTCACTAACTCCTTTGGACCAGTTTTATCACTTGAAGGTGGCCAAAGAATTGATGATATTGTTTTGCATGGACTTGCCACATGTCATGCCGTCACAAAGCTTGGAAAGGAGTTCAGGGAAGTATGGCTGCAACGCCCATTGATGATGATGAGTTTTAAGGCCCGCTTCCTCAAGCATAATAAGATGACAGAAACATCTTCCATGGCCAAGCTCCTGGTTTTCCATGAGAAACCCTCTCATTCTTTCCACAACTAAATCATATGGTGGACAGCCTTTTCCGGCTATGAGCTTTGATTTCCGTTTCAAGCTATGGTGGATCATTCTCCTCGCCGTCAATATAACTTGGCAAAAGGTTGGTTTCGCTGTTTCAACTCCAGAAGAGAAGAAAAAAAAATTCTCACTTGATAGAGCATATTCTTAGAATCGTTCGCTAACGATGTACGATACTACTTGTACGAAATACCCTAGTTTAAATTTAAACGTCCTGATTTTAAGATTTAGGCGCGATTTCGGCTCTTCTGGCTGCGTGTCTCTCGAGAGTAGGCCTCTGGATTCTTCCCACATTTTGCTTTCATTCTGGGATTCCATCAAATGGGATTGGGTTTTATGCGCTTCTGACAAAGACAAGCTCCAAATTCCCGATGCTGCTAGTGTCGCCGAGCTCAAGGCGACGATCTTACGCTCCGTGTCTAACACAAATCATGGCAATTGTTTCCCACGCGACCATGACTCTTTTCTTTTTGTACCTGATTCCACCAAGACGTTCTGCGAAAGTGCATGTACACATGAATCAGCATCGTGTAAGGTCTTTCGTTTGTTTCAAGCCAAAGCTGACCTGTCTCATCCCAGGCCGATTCTTGACAAGGCCAACCAGTCCCTCCATATTCCATTATTTTCTTCTTCGTCTTTCTATCCTTTGACGTTGGTGCTACTTCGAGGCCTCGGATTCTTTGGCTGCTGCTGGACATCCATTAAATCCAAGTCCCAAACTCCGTACTGGGGATTTCCATCCGGACTTGCTCTGGAGGAACAACGTTAGCAGTGCTATGGGAGCTTTGGTGGGCTTTGTGACGAGGGAAACTCTTCGCTGCGAAAGAAGAATTATTGATGCAAAATCTTTGAGGTTGCTCGCAACTCTTTGGAAAAGTTTTACGAACTTAGTCGACTGTTTGGTGGGGCTGGTCACCATCTACCTGGACAAGTAGACGAACCGCCTGTAATCCTTTCCAGGATATTGGCTCGGTTCCAATCAAAGAGGACCACTCCAGAACTGGCTGCTGTGCATGCCTTAGTAGCTGA